GGAGTTTATTAAATGTACATGCTAATATCATAATATTGTTGTAATGTGAGAATGTAGGATTTAAGATAGATATCTATGCTTAAAAAAACAACTCGTTATAACGGTGCATCGCAAGATGTTCATTAAAAATGTCCAGCAATAGTTGATAACATAGTCCTTTAAAGCAATAAATAGATCAAAATAAAATATTTGTTCATTATTTTCAAGTGCTTCAAATCTTGTGAAAAAACATTTGGTATTGTCGAAGTAGAACCTTACCCCTGGATGAGTGTGTAATTAATGAACTTCACTGTTATGCCCTTATATCTTGACACCTTATTTTTGCTAGGGTACTGTACCTGTTAAAAGAATTAAAAAAATAATACCAAATATGAATGACGTTCAATTGGCGTCCAAAAACACTTTCTTATCAACGAAATGTTTCGTTACTGTTTTAACTTACGTATATATTGGGGGAATATGTTCTTCTTAATCTTCGGAACTTGTACATCACAAAAGTTTTCAGCGGTCATACTAGGTCCGTTCATAGTCAACGTACCAGCAAGACAAAATCCTTTTGTTGTTGATGTTTGATATTTTTCTCTTACCCAATTATATGGAATTTTGTCGGAAATTCAATTAAATGGCATTTAACACATAATAGTTGAAAATGGAAAATAACGTATATCTATTTTGTGAGCATGCATTTCCAATAAGTTTTTATATCTCTACTTATAGTGTGAGACAAAATCGAAAAAGTGGTAAAATATGATTGATTTTTTACTGCATATAAATTCACCAAATATACTAAAATCTACCAAACTAATTTATTCGTGAGTGACAACTAAGTCTGGGTATTGGATGTATGATTATAAAGGGATTATTTTGCTAAAGTACTTTCAAATTTTATATATTGAATTTTATTTTTAACTGTGTGCGCGTATATGGCCGAAAATAATATGATGAATTTAGTTCTCGATAAATATGTTTGGGTGGTCGTTTTTTGTTATTTACTTGAAATATGGATCATTGCATTTGGCAAACTGCATAACACAATCACTTGTTATTACCCTTTTGATAAATGAATCAGGCAATTGTTATTCGTTTCGCAGAATTCGGTTGTATGGCGTTACAAAAGCGCTTTGATTGTAGATACACAAAATAATCTATACGGATATGGCGAAATAGCGATAATAATAATACTGATTCCAGGAAATATTTCAATTTACTATTTTCAAATTTCAGATTTTGTATCAATCTACTTATCAGATGTAGAAAGCATCATGATTGCATCCAAGTGCATTTGTTTTTATTTATAGAAACCTCGCGCATTTTCCCTGATTCAGTTGCAGTATGTGTTTATCAATGAAGTCCGGACCATGCCTGAGTGCTTTTACATGATGTAGTTTTGCAATAGCATCAGATGTCATCAGTGGCGTTTTTACTGTGCGATTGTTTCATAGAAGAAATAAAAAACATTTTTAACGAAAATAATTCTACAGTTAATTCCACATATTTTAGCTTCCTCGAAATTAAAACTTTTCGTGAACAAAAGCAAAACTATTTGTATTTACGCCGTGCATTGGACATATAACGCAAATTAGAGCCACAAAAGTTGAAGAATTCTTGAAAGTATTACATTGTGGTATGTCGCAGAAATTCGGTGAATAAGAAATATGTAATGTAACTGAGAAATGCAGTCAAATTTATTAACCACGGGGAATTATCGGAGAAAATAATAAAATAAAGTATCTGACAAGCCGGATGGGTGAATAAAGAGAATACAAACATAGTATGTGTAGAAAGTAGGTATATTACAAAGAATGTAATTTCATAGGAATTTTGTGCAAAGAATCTAAAGTAAAATTAAAAAATGTCGCAAATATAAATGTGAATTGTTTCTGATTAATTTAACATAAATGCCCGTGTGACTTTTGTCCTATGACTGACTACATATCGTCACGCTAATAACCGAATTGCGTAAGTCATTTTTGACGATTTTGAGTTTTTTATAAAATAGGTATTTATGTAATGCTGCGCACCTGTCTGTTAACTCAGATTTTATTTTAAGAATTCCGAAACCCATAAAAATGGAGATTTAGTATGACATGCACATTTGTGCAATTGTTTCGTCATAATGAATTATCATTGTTATCGTAGGACTATTGTGACGTCACAAAGGTAAAATAACCTCGGCGAAGAATTTTCGAGTTTTTGCATCTTGAATTCTAGCTTAGCACGTATTAATTTGAATTTATACTACGGTATAGGAAGACGTGCACTTGTGATATTCTCTGTCCGAGTCCAATTCACCTTGGTTGGCTTTTATATTGGGTGCATTGCTGTTTTATTCTTTATATTTAATCTTAGTCTTATTTCGGGAGGGGGGGAGGTGTTGTATTGATGAAATATATATTTTTACACATAAATAATGTAATTGAAACTGATTAGCTATTTTGGAGATTAGACATTGTAGATACTGAGAATTACATTCGTTTTTGGAATGTTTAGTTTCCAGGACTGGTGCATATAGTGAAGTTGCAAAATTGCGTATGTCCCAAAGTCATAGACACATTTCTGCCTAAGTCACAGTGCGCCATTATGACGTCACCTAACTGCGTCATACGAATTAACTTAAATCCGGCCACGATCAAAAAATTGAACCATGGCAAATTATTGACTCTCAATGGCATAACAATATCTTTAGGAAGTTTTTTACGTTTTTCTCAAAACTGCTAAAAATGACTTACGCAATTCGGTTATTAGCGTGACGATATAATGATCCAATGACTTATTGCTTGTATGTGTTTCAACTTAAATACGTGAGAAATCAAACGAATATTGGAATTCTATCTCAACGCACTACGGATGTTGAATATAGATCTAATGCGCGTGATCTTGTAACTATGAATCATTCTTGGTTAAATTTATCGTCATGTCAACGACAGATAACGTTTTTACGTCAGAGTCTTGTTGGTTGATTGAGAGACAATGCAGTATGGTAGATTAATGGTGCCTAATGTTTTCTTGCTACTAAAAGCCATTTGTACAATGAATGTATCACTGATAACGTTCGATACTTTTACCAAACATGTAATAAAACTCAAATATGTTGCGAGCTTTACATAAAAAACAGAACGCAAATTGAAAATTTGCCATCAAAAATAAAAATATACTTTTTCTAATATATATATATACATATTTTCTAATATACTATACTCTGTTACACAAGCATCAAGCAGTCCAGTCTTCATTACTAAAATGATTTCTAACCGAATAACTAGGTACGATCATCGGAGACGACATAGACGTTGGAGACCGATTGGCCTATTGCATTTGAGTTATATTTAGTTTCATTCAACAACTTATCTTCTGTTTACATTGGAGAAACAGAAAGAAGTATTGAAATTTGAATCAAGGAACATCAGCGAGATGTTAAATAAAGGAAAATCGGAAAGGCAGCTCTCTTCCTAATGCCTTTTCGGCAAATCATATCATTGATTCGCAAAACAGCTGGAATTTATAAAACGAAACGCACTTGGACTAGAGAAAATGAATATTTCTCGAATCCTACTATATTAAAGAAAAATATTCAATGAATGATAATGAAGACCCTTCCTTCCTGCTTATAAATCGTTATTTGGATAGTTCACGGGCTTGTTTAAACTTTCGGCGATGTACTCAGATCTGGCATATCTTGCTATCTTATTTTTAGATTAGATATCACGTCTTGATAGTTGATCTCGCTATATTTATATATATATACAAACTGGATTCTTTACCATATCATGCCCTGATGAAGCTTGTCCGAATAGAAAACCAAAACGTTGAAAAGCACTTCGTTTCTATAACACCGGTTGGGTTGTATATGTCCTTAACAAAAACAGAATTTTTTCCATAAACTAAATAGAACTTTGTGACAATAGCAAATTTGCAATATCAATACCACTAGGAATAAATTTGATAAATAACAACTAAAATGTTAGTCTATTCAATTAAAGAGTCCAGCTTCACACTAACACAAATGTATTTCTGTAACGTTTCGCCTGACCAGAGTCAGACTTCCTCAGACAAGCAGTTTACAACAATGGCAAGAAATAAATTTGGTAAATGAATTTGAAATATCAAATCAAGTATGACGTAACAATGCATAAACATTTAATTTGCATTTAGCCGTAGAAGTAATGATGGGAAGATTAGAACCACAAATATCAGTGGAGCTCAAATTCGGAACATTGGAACCCCAAGGACTCAATTCACGGGAGAAATAGACTGTAGACTCATCTAAGAATTATTATTTAATAATAATTTTCATTTCAACGTCATATAATATTTAAATTTAACAATCACCCTTTTTCTTAAGTTTATATTATTACTCGCCCCTTGATTGGCATTTTATTTTACTATTATTTTCAAGTGTCCCAAGTTTAATTTTAATTATAATTCAAAGCCTTGGATTTATGTGCTTGCAATAGTTTTTTAAATTTTTTTTTTGTCCTACTCGAAATATGCTAGATGGTTAATTCATTTTTAATTTATTATTATGAATTATTATTATATTTTTAACGCTATTTAAGATCAAAATTCAGCAATAACTTTTAACCTTTTTTTAATTTTGAAATTGGTCCTCACCAAACTAAGCCTTGATTTATGTTTAAATGTTGGTTTACTTCCTCGTGGTTCTCTAAGTGCCCATAATTTTAATTACATTTAGTTACCCATCATTTTCGTAAATGCAATAATAAATTTTTTTTTTTTTTTAATTACATCTGAAATGAGCTCCACTGATATTTGTGGTTCTAATCTTCCCATCATTACTTCTACGGCTAAATGCAAATTAAATGTTTATGCATTGTTACGTCATACTTGATTTGATATTTCAAATTCATTTACCAAATTTATTTCTTGCCATTGTTGTAAACTGCTTGTCTGAGGAAGTCTGACTCTGGTGAGGCGAAACGTTACAGAAATACATTTGTGTTAGTGTGCAGCTGGACTCTTTAATTGAATAGAATAGTCATGTTTATTCCAGCTACAGTATCCTTGCAGTATACGCATACGGATCCACTAGCATAAAGACATAGAGAAAAGATAGGAAGTTAGTCTCGCGCAACCCAACTCAAATTTAAAATGTTAGTAATTGCATAATTCAGTTTTCATTTTTGCGCCAATCATAAGATAAAAGTTTGGTTATGACGTAATGTTCAGTGATTCAGTTTGATTTATTCCACCAAGTTTGTGTCTGACAAAATATAACTTTATCTAAATATCTACATTCCGCTTGACTATTATAATCATGGACTCAAACTCCTATGCACAGTTTAGCACAAAAATTGAAAATCTAAGACCTTCTTAATATATCCTGTATTGTTACCAAACATTCGTCACACCAGCATTTCCTGCAAAACACCAGTGTCATCTGCCAAGACGACGATCTCTATTAGTTGACTGATTGAATTAAAACGATAATCAGTGATTGAATATATATAATTTGCAATCAAGAGTAATTACAAAATTGACTTCGAATACGTCCGATGCAGAACCACGATAACACAAATGCAAACAACAATAACAACATAGATAGTATCATGTTTGAGTATTGAACTCGCATCCAGATTTTTGTTTGGGACAAGAATTTTCTATTTCAATATTGAAGATGTCATTGATTCATCAAACTGGTGAACATGAGCAGAAATTTAACCTTTCATAAATTTATTATGAATCAAGGACGACTAGTGTTTTGACATGAATAGCCACAAAAAGGTAAATATTGTACGATTTATTATTTTTTAAGATACATTTACGTATGTAAGTGCTATGAACAATATCGACAGTATTTCTCAATGCATTTTCTAATTTAATCGGACTTGATTAGATTGAAAATTTGCCGAAACGACATTATTCTTTATGTCTTAGGACGTTCAATTTTTCTTTTTGACTTTTTTTTTTGAAATTGTATTATATATTTAATTGAAAATTAAACGTTTTGAACATATGCATGTATAGCTCGGCTCATAGAATAGTTTCATGTTTCTATTGACGGCAAATGGAGGAATTCTAAAACAATTTCAAAAACTAGTAGTTTGAATCTATGTTCGTAAAATAGATGCCGATACCAAAAGCTGTACCTGTACCTTAATGACTATTTATCTTCACCCTAGTAGAAGCACTACAACTACTATAACTACCAAGCCTACTTTCGCAGTCAACATGACTTTGTACAACCACAGCACGCGGGAAAAACAGCTGATTGATTGATGCGAGGAAAGCTAGAAAGTAAAGTAAAATCGTCTTCGCCTTTTAAACAACATTAACGTATTTTTGCCATTTTAGAGTTTGAATGATTTTTGGTTTACGATGAGCAAGTCGTACTAAAGCATTGCGGAACCTGCTATTCAAGCATTGTTGTTGCTTCCATCAACATTGTTGTGCGACTCTGCATTTTCAGTGCTGCTTGATATCAAATCGAAATAAAAGTCCGCTGAGCATGATTTACGTTGTTATGTTGCTAATATTTCACCTCGTATCAATGAGCTGTAATGATGCTGTAAATCAGGCTCATCCATCAAACTATCTAGGATTGCTTGGTTCAACCTGTCGATGAATTGTTAGTTTGATTGTAGTGTTTGTTTAAGCTTAGATTACATCGTTATGGCATTGGTTAGTACTGATCACGCAGTATTTTCATAATAATTAGCAAATTTAGAGAAAATGTAATGAATGGCGCCGCTATAGAGAATATTAGAGCCAAGAATAAGAAAATATTTTGGGGTTATACAAGCGACCTATAAATTGTCTGAAGGGCAACCTATGATCAGAAAGTTTGGGGAACCCTGTATTAGAGTAAATAGAAAATGTTATCCTTTCCAGTGATTTATACATAAAACTTTTTTCGGCTCTATCTTTGATGTACAACATATTTTATCGTGTGTGATATGTGGACAGGGAAATTGGATCGTACATCCGCGGCCGGCGCCTACGAACGCTCTAAAACAGGCCATTGCAACCGCAAACCTGGTTTCTGTAAATCAGCATAAAGCGAGTAATTATGATATTAATTTGTTGAGTATCGTGTTCGTTTAACAGGACGTCTGAGCGGCTGCTTTAGCTAATTCTATAAAATTATCCTTAGCTTGATCGGATTATATTGTCCTCAACATAGATGTGTTTTCGATTGCGACCTCAAATTTTGAGAATTGGAAACGTATTAAAACTTTTTATAGATTTTTAAATAACCTCAAAGCACACGAACAGTCAATATTTAAATTTAATAACCCTTTTTGACCATTGTTTAAACATCAGTTGAGACTGCAATTTTCAGAATTTTCAACAAGGGTGCGTTGATTCGTGTTGAGCAAACAATTGATCTATGAACAAGTCTCCGAAAACGATTGCTCTCTGGACCCAAATGCCGAGAGAGTGGGTAAAAAAGAAAAACAAGCGAACTGGTGTGAAACTATTTTGAACGCAAAAATGCTCATGAAATATGATTATTTTAAAAATGAACACAGTCATATATTCTATACGCCAAAATCAGTTAATTTTGCACCTACTGAATATAGCGTGGAAGAAAATTTTATAAAGCATCCGCATGAAATGGTTCGTCTATTACAGTTTTCCCATTTTTGTAATCATTCAATTATTATTTGAATATCACCTAATTCAGGGTGGTCCAAACTGCGACCCGTCGACACATTCCGTGCGACCCGCAGAACAATTTCAGTGTACACTACTAAACCATTGGCAGATATTTGTATTTATTAGCAGAACAATTTTGATTTATTTTTAAACTATTCCAACAGGGAATAGTCCTTTTTCTAATCCCGAAGTCGGGATTGATGTTTGTTAAAATCACGAAATTTCATAGTTGTATCTTGAAACGTCGAGACGGTGCCTATATGGGAATGGAGTCCTGTGAAATGAAGAATGGGTTGTATTATGCAGACAGCAGGACTAAGCCGACGAGATGAGCACGGTCGAAAAATTCCTCATTTGAAAAAACCTCTTGTGCCTATATTTTAGTCAAAACACTCCTCTATTTTCAAGCGTTGGCCGGGTGACAGCCGTGACAAACGAAGATCTGACTTTGTGCGCAATCCAGTTTTTTTCATCAGGGTCGGAGTTTTGTTTTTATCTAGGTCCGAGGTACAAACTTAGACGAACTTGATTGTATTTTGACGGTAGCACTAGGCCTGCTCACGCTACAAGTAATAAATCTTTTCAAGTATAACAATTCGCCATACAATGAATGTAGAAAATCGGTGACCGAAGTAAACTCAGAGGAAATGTATTTCCTTACGCACCACAGTGTCTGGTGTGTTTTCAAGTAATATCCGTTACGAAAGAATATAATTTTAAGCGACTTTTTAATTACAAAACCAAACACGAGAAATGATACCGAAAATACCACGATATTTCTCGGAAAGCAATTTTAAAATATAGTTTCCGTGAAAAACTGATTAGAATGATAAAGTCTTATTATGAAATATATTTAAAGTGAAGAGGTCTCGCGATGGTTTTATCACTTTTGAGTTTTCTCTGATTTGCGGCCCGCGAGACCTCTTTGTGGTACGAAAAAAGTTTTCATATTAGGCCGTGTACAAAACTGTATAGTTTTTTTTGCCTGACTGAGTACACCCATGGCAAAATCTACATTCTTCTGAGATGAAATAAAACAATTTTTATTTCGGAATAATATTTTTACCTAAAACTAAAAACTTTCATTGTCAATGTTGTAAACGCGTTCTATATAAAAACCAGTACAGTGCCGTAGAATTTTTAAATCAAACATTTCTTATTGTATACAATATATAATTAATATACTCCTTATTATTTAATATACTCCTTATGTCTATTATGATTTCAGCTACATATTTCCAAGAAAAATTTAATTACTTCTATATGGTGGCAGATATGCTGTAAATAACGTAAATGTAAAAGTAGTACAAATTTATGATTGCGCCACACCGAAGAATCTAACTTTTATCTTCTGAAGGCGTACAGTTCTTATAAACCTTGCCATAAACAAAAATTATGTCTGAGTAGACAAATAACAACATCAACAACAATATATTAGTACGCCGATTCGTCAATTTCTCCGGTGTCCAACAAATATAAAATGTGTTTCTAGTACATCCAAGTACCAGAGAAAAAATAACGTCATTACTTGAATGTTAGTCTAAAATTCAAACTAAAGATTCTTCACAGGCGAATGATTCTTTATAAAGTTAGTTGACATGGGTGCCTAATAAACCTTTAAACTAATAATACAAAGAGTTATAAGGTAAATTGCTCCTCCAAAGTTATTTTTAATATGTCATAGCAGTAGACTACTTTATGAAACTACAGATTATAGTTCAACATGTACAATTATCGTGTTAATTTCTATAAGTCGTATGTCTCCATGAAAGAACAATCTATGTGGCGAAACTCCTAAATTTGTGTTCGAAGTCACAATCTCAGCAATTAATGTCTATATACAGGGCATTTAGGTCGTTAGGTATTTTATATAATAATCAAAAATCACGTATTTGAAAGGTCTCCGCGACTATTTCGTGTACCACCGAACAAAGTTTATAGTGTTATAATACAGAAGTAAAAATGGTTATTGGCATCTCTTGCAAATGCACATATTCATTTCACCCGGAATTTTATTTGTAAGTTACATCAAGCTTAAACTTTTAATTTTCTAACACAGAGTACAACATTGATGTTTATAAAAAATTTTGACTCAAATTGCGACATCGATATAGTAAATCGACGAAAAACTAAGTGCAAATCACATAGAAAAAATGTAAGGAGAATGTGCGGATAAAATGGTGTGACCATTTGCCATTGGTTATTCGATTTGATTACTCAATAAGGGCCTATTTAGCAGCAAATCTAAAATCTCATCTCATACTTATGCCCTCGTGATCTTTATTAGTTTTTCATAAAAAAAATGGGCGTCATACATGCTATATCTCGTCACTGAAAGTCGAATCAACTGAGCTTCAAGTTGGTTGCACAAGACTTCTAGGCGACTGCTTCAGCTAATTCTATTTAATTATTCATAGTTTGATCAGATCAAGTATTGTCGGGAATAGTGCAATGTAGACGATTGTGGTTTGGATTTAAGAGATTACGAAGAAGCATCAAAACTTTTTATAGCTTTAAAAATGTTAAAAAACCTCAAAGCACACGAACAGTCATTAATTAAAATTTAATAAACAGTTTTAGATCAGTGTCTAAGTATAAGTTAAGGCTGCAATTAGGAATATTATTAACACTGCCACGCTTCATTTGTGTCGGAGAAACATAATTAGCCTGGGAACAAGCTTTGAAAAACAAATTCAATCTTAACGCAGGAACTGAGAGAATGAAACAATAAGAAGAGATATCAAACTGTAGTGAAACTGTTAAAATGTATATTGTCGGTTTGTCTCAAATGGAACCCACGAACTCTACTTTTACTTTCAAAATTACATATAATCAATAATGTTGAAGTCATTTTAATAAATTAGATACTTTGGAGAATAAATTTGCAATTTGATTGGATGAATATTATTTTTTTTAATACTACTGGGAAACTATACCAAAAATCTATTCATTGTACTTTTCAAAATTAAATCTAGTTAAATCTGGTCCTAGACCAAACGTTGTTCACAAATAAAATGAAAACAAGGTCGTTGAGGCTGTTTATTTGACCTTTAAATCAAATTTGTATTTATGTTAATAAATAATAGCTATTTAAAAAAAATCTTTACTTATAGTCAGATAATTTAAATCTCACTGAATAATTGAAATGTAAGGCTTTAGCAAATTTCATACGAGACTTTCTGAGGTATCTTCTTTACTATATTTACCTTCCAATTATCCATTCTTGTCTTTTATTTGGCTCAAAAAGTTCACTCCTCGAATTGACATCAGGCATATAAATCTTCATAAACAAAATTGTTTTGCCCTTCACTTTGTCCTCCATTTGAAGACTTTTAGGGCTAAATACACTTTCTTTTAGAATGTAATAAAACATGTTTTATATTGCAACAACATCCACAGATGTATTGGCTATGTTAACTTTTTTATCTTGTTCGAAGCAGTCATGATTAATTATGGCACAAGCTTGATTGCTACATCTGATTTTGCATTTTGTTTATATATAAATAATAAAAAGTAGTTTATTTGAAATTGCAATTGGGATTATTCATATAACTAAATACAGGGTAGTATTAACTATTACTACTGCTTGAACTATTAAAAAAATAAATTACTTAATTTGAGGACTGTATTCTTTGATGTGGTGTTGATTGATGATAAAATATTTAATTTACCTTAACTGACTGATTCCATCCTTGTCATTTGTGCATTAGCACTCGAACAATTCTTAAATCGATAACGAGATATTCTTCGAAACACAAAACGAGAGAAAAAAACTTTTTTCCAACAGTCAATACTATAAAGTATATATAAAGAAAGGCTGGACGCATATGCCTACAGAACATTCTGTTATCGA